TGTGTGTGTGTGTGTGTGTGTGTGTGTGTGTGTGTGTGTAGATCAATGTCAGGCGTCTTTCTCTATCCTTTCTACCTGCCTACCTAGCACTAGGCTTGCAAGAGTTTGCTCCTACTCCTGGCTTTCCACATAGGGGCTAGAGATCTAAATTCAGGTGTTCATATTTGTGTTTAAGGAGCTACACATAACTAACTAGTAGCTATTGAACCGGTGGTACAGGATAGCTCCTTGTTTAAAGAGCCACACATAACTAGTAGCTAGGGAGCAGGCAGTACAGGGTAGCTCCTTTCATTTGAGGAGTTTATATTGTATTTGTACTGAAACGGAGAGAAAGACTTCATTCAGGTACATGGTAGCAGTTCAAACGGCACAAGAGAGTATCCATTAGAAATCTTCCTTTTAGGGGCTGGAGAGATGGCTCAGCAGTTATGAATACTGACTGCTCTTCCATAGGACCCGGGTTCAATTCCCAGCACATACATGGCAGCTCATAACTGTTTGTAACTACAGGGATTCAGACACCCTTACATACTACTTGCAGGCAAAACACCAATACACATGAAGTAAAAATATACGAAAGAAAGAAGGAAGGAAGGAAGGGAGGGAGGGAGGGAGGGAGGGAGGGAGGGAGGGAGGGAGGGAGGAAGGAAAGAAAGAAAGAAAGAAAGAAAGCTTTCTTTCACTCTCTTCTCTGCTTCCAACCCCCAGTTTCCCTTCCCAGAGCCAACCCTTATTTCCAGAGCCATTTTATACACATGCAAGCATATCATATATGTTTTCTCTCCCATTCTCTTTTCAATTCAGAAGTCTATTTTATCTGCCATCTGTTTTGGTTTTGCTTGTTTACTTTTTTTTTTTTCCCAGACTGAGTTGCTGTATAGCTCATCCTACCCTTGAACTCCCAACCCTTCCACTTCAGCTTCCTTCCTTCCTTCCTTCCTTTCTTTTTTCAGTTTAATTCAGTTTTATTTTTTTCAAGATAGGGTTTCTCTGTGTAGCCCTGACTGTCCTGGAACTTGCAGCCTTGTTCAAGGTTGGCCTTGAACTCAGAGGTCTACCAGCCTCTGCCTCCTGAGTGCTGGGATTAAAGGCGTTTGTCATCCTATGGCCAGGATCTGTTTCAGCCTTTGGAGTGATGGAATTATAAATGTGTAATACCATGCCTGGCTGCTCTACTGTCTATTTCCTTTTTTTTTTTAGAAATTAACAATATACCTTATTATTCATTACCCACTGGGACAAATGGGACTACCTCATTATTTTAAAATGTATTTATTTTTATGTGTTTGAGACTTTTGCTTGCATGTATGTGTATGAACAATGTGTGTGCATGGTACCCATGGAGGACAGCAGAGGGTATCTGATCTGGTGGAACTTGAGCTACAGTTGTGAGCCCCCATGTGGGTTCTGGGAACTGAACCCTGGTCCTCTGCAAAGCAGCAAGTGCTCTTAAGTACCAAACTATCTCTCCAGTCCCAAATAAATGTAATTTTTTAAAGATAAGATCTAAGTACCACTGCTGGTTTGGAAATCACTGTGTAGATCAGGGTGGCTTCTGACTAACAGAGATCCACCTACCTCTGTTTCCCAAATGCTGGAATTAAAGGCATGCACCATCTTGCTTGGTTATATGTCCTATTATTTTAATTTTAATGGCTTTATATAATCCTTTTTTGTTGTTGTTTTGTTTTGTTCTTCAAGACAGAGTTTCTCTGTGTAGGCCTGGCTGTCCTGAAACTCCATCTGTAGACCAGGCTGGCCTTGAACTTGGAGATCCACCTGCCTCTACCTCCCAAGTGCTGAGATTAAATTCATGCACCACCACCGCCCAGCTATAATCTTTTTAAAAGCTATGCCATTTATTCACCAGAGCCCATGAAAGTGGGCATATTATTTGCTTCCAGTCTTTCATTATAGTATGTTGTAATAAGTAACCTAGTATCAAGATTTTATATATTATTTGATAGAAAATAAGGATGAGCCGGGTGATAGTGGCACACGCCTTTAATCCCAGCACTCAAGAGGCAGAGCCAGGGGATCTCTTATGAGTTCAAGGCCAGCCTGGTCAACAAAGCAAGATCCAGGACAGGCACCAAAACACCACAGAGAAACCCTGTCTCGAAAAACAAAACAAAACAAAACAAAAGAAAAAAACAACAAAAGAAAAGAAAACAAGGATGAACTCCTAAAAGAGAAAGCACATTATTATGTCAAGGGAAGGCACAGCTTACATTGCCACAGGTTTTGACAAGTCCATGAAGTTTGTTGATGGGTGTGTAAACTGGTCCAGGATGTGAAAGCACATCCTCATCACATAGTCTATGGATCCTTGGGTTTTTACTGTTTTTGCTGATGATGAGTGAGAGCCTCAACTCATGGATTTAGTTTACCTGTGTCTTATTGTAAATGAGATTGAGCATCTTTTCATGGGTTTAAGGGCTGTTTCTGTTTTCTTCCTGGGAAGTTATCCAGGTAATTTACTCACTTTTCTAGTTGTTGTTCTTGGTCTGTGGGGGCTTTTTAATGCTCTAAGTGTTGGACCCCAAAGTTTAGGGTCTCAAGTGGGCGCCCCAAGAACCCAGACTCCAGTCCAGTTGATGCAATAGCAAGAGTTTTTTATTTAAGCTTCTATATAGAAGGGCAAACTCTGCTCCTAAGAGCAAGAGTCGCATCTTACTGCAGCCACATGGGGGTTTTTAAAGGAAAAACCCACAAAAGCCATGAGATTACAATTCCCATACAATTTCGTTTCACAAGATCATGGTCTGGGTACAGAGTGATCACAGGGGGTACAGTTACGTCAACAGGTACATTTTTCCTGAAACCTCAAGGGGGGTATCAGGGCAGGAGTGGAGTTTACACAAAGGTCACAGTGGTCCTTCCTGGAACACCCGCAACTATCCCAGTGGAGCACATCTCTTAACAGAAATCTTTTTACGTTGTTATATGGTTGCAGGGCAGATTGAACAATGGCTAAGTCAGGTTGCCCTTGGAACTAGATTTTTAGTTTCTCATTTCCTGGTGCTTGAAGTTTCTCTTTTCCTGAGGCTTGGGGGTGTAAGCCTGAAGGCCTAGGGTCTTTCATTAGGAAGCTGTCTGTTGTGTGGTATCTGTTGGCAAATTTTGATTTTGTTTATGAGATCTCTTTCCAAGTGGACTTCAAAAGCAGTTTTATGCAGTCAACTTATTACTCTTGTAATACTGATATAAAATTGTTTTTTAGCATAGTGTTTTTTTTTTTTTTTTGGTTTTTCGAGACAGGGTTTCTCTAGCATAGTGTTTTGTTATGGCCTCTGTAGTTTATGTGCCTTAGAATGGCATTCCCCATGGAGACATTTTCAGAGTTTTGATTTCTTCTAGCCCTTTCCTGATTCTTTTTCATGTTTAACGCTAACTTGCCTGGAATACCTCTGGGTCTAGTAGCCTAACTTTCCCCTCTGGTCGCCTCACACTTTGCTATGGGGTTTTTGCCAGCCCCTTCTGTTCTTCTAGCCCTGTTCTTGAACATTTAGCCCCTGTTCACTGACCACTCCTGCAGCAGGATTGCCCGCCTTTACCCATTAATTATTTTTCTTTTTTTTATTTCTTCCCAAATGTAGCATTTAAGTAAGCCCTAGTAGAGATAAAGAAGAAGAATCTAGATCTTTATTTGAAGTTCTCTGTTCAGCTTTGTGCCCCAAGCATGTCTGCTTCCTTCTGTTTGACCTCTCCTACTGATGGCAGTCAGTTCACCTTAGACCTTTTAGCCTTCCCAGGGCCTGACTAATTATCTAGATGCCCTGCCCTCTGTGCACTTTAGCCTAGTTGGGGAAGTGGCCTGAGCTAGAGGTGGACTATAAATCCGCAGGAAATGCGCATTTTCCGTGTGCTGAGAGAATCCTCTGCTCCACCACAACCAGATCTGGTTGGCTGCCAACACATTCCTTATATGATTTAATGCTTTGTCATTTTATTTCTTGTGATTACAGAATCTCATTTTCAGCTCCTGCCAAAGCCAGTAACTTTGGGAAAGAGTCTGCTCCTTGAAGAGTAAGTGTGAGTTTTTAATATATTAGATTATCTAAAACAGGAGCAGGCTTTCCTGAGACTGGGCCATTCTGAGTTCCTGTCCCAGGCCACCCATGCTGAGTGAGTCTCTAGGTCACTGTGTGTGGTGGGAAAGGATTGGTACTTGGGGCAAGGGTCTTCAAAACTCCAGTATACAGTCTAAAAGCCTTTCCAAAGACCATCTAGGAGCAGGGCTGTCGTATAAAGGGTGTCTAGAAGGCAAGGCCACAGAGGAATGACAGTGTTCTGCTGGGGAATATGTCACTGGAACTAGCCATTAGAGGCAGGGATGAGTGAATTTATCAGCTAGTTATAGGATAGCAGGACCAGAAGGGGACAGAGCAGGAGGCATTGTAGGCAGGTGGGGCAGGAAGCTTGCTTGTTGGGGTGTAAGAAGACATAGGGTGAGTCAGCACTGAGAAGTAGAGTTGGGACCATGTGGGGTGGCTCTGATTTCGTCTGGTGGGTGTTTGACCAGCTCAACCCAATCCTTGCCTTGAACTGAGATGAGTCCTCCAGGAGCTGGTGTTAGAAGGATGGTTGATGTGTTGGAATAGCATTTACAGAAAGTGAACAGGAGAAACAAGGGCCTGGTTCCAGTGTACAGCCAAGGGAGCGAGTCTGACTGATTGACAGTTCTATATCTGATATGGATTGCTCCTCCTACTCAGTATTCCCACTAAATACTGAACCAAACTGACCTAATTGATTGCTTGCAAGGGGCCGTTCCAACATAACTCCCAATGCTGTGTGGTCCTGTATGGGTGTGACTCCCAATGCTGTGTGGTCCTGTATGGGTGTGATTCCCAGTGCTGTGTGGTCTTGCTGGGTGTGACTCCCAATGCTCTATGGTCCTGTATCAGTACTCCTATCTACGTGTGACTATTGAGTGCTTGAAAGGCAGCTGTTGTAATTAAGAAGTGAACTTTGAATTTTACTAAATTAGTAACTTATTTAAATTTATGGTACTGAACATTGAACTTAGAAATTCATACAGACCAGGCAAACACTCTGTCATGGAAATGTATCTCCAGAAGTTATTTAAACTTAAACAGCAGTTTTCATAGACTTAGACAGTTGACCTGAGTGCTCATATCTTATACTATCCATTATATACCTGGTGTATTAACAAGTGAGAAGAGTGGAAGGTACACTGGCACTGAGGAGGCTACATGGATGGGGAACTGTCAGCAAAAATCAGTGACTCAGAAGAAACAGGAAGAAATATGTCTGAGGCATTGTAGAACCTTAGTGTCATGGGTGGTCAAACAGGCATTAGAAAAATCTAGAAGGAAATCCTGTCAAGTACATTGATATTTATAATTCCCTGTAGAAGAGAATGGCCAAGAATGGAGGTGAAGGAAGAGTCATTATAAGAGTTATGGGGGGTGGGGGTGGTAAAAAGCCTCTGTGATTATCCAGGGAGAAAATGAAGAGAGCACTGGGATACCCCAGCCAGGCATGCTCAGCCGTAGCTCACTTCAACAGCAAGGCTGTTGGAGCCTCAAGTTACAGAGCTCAACTAGAGTTGAGGAGGAGAGGAGTGCAACCAGCTGTTTTAGCTGTTGATCTTCATTGATAGTTTTGAAGAATCAGTTTCTTTTTGGGAACTAGTTCCAAAGTCTGTTGGATGCAGCACTGTTGACCAGTGGGAACACTGCACTCAAATTTCAAGAACATAGCATTTTTCTTTTTCTATATTTCTTTCTTTTATAGTGTTTTAACCACCAGCACTCAGCCCTTGGAATTAAACCTACTCTATCACTGAGCCATGTCCCCATGTCCAACAAAACAAAACCCACCAAATTTATTTTGAGAAAAGATCTTGTTAAGTTGCCCAGGCTGGCCTGGAACTTGCTACTTAGCACAGGAAGGCTTCACCTAATGATCCTCTTGTCTTGCTTCCCAAGGAGCTGGGATTACAGGCCTGTATCATGAGGCCTAGACAGAATCAATGTTTTTCAGGCCTAGAGAGATGGCTCAGCACTTAAGAGCACTTATTGCTCTTGCAGAAGACTCAGGTTCAGTTCCCAGCACCCACATGGTAACTCAAAACCATCTATAGCTCAAGTTCCAGTGAACACTATATCCATGTAGTATACAAGTATACATGCAGGCAAAATACCCATACACACAAAATAAAAAATAACAGTTTTTTTTTAGTGGTAAACTTTATGGGGAGAATTTTTATGTTGTATAACCAAAGAAACATAAGCAACACTGAATAATTTTAAAAACATACCAGTAGAAATAAGGATTGAACAAGACTGGCAACTTGTAAAAGTTGTTAATGTATTAGCATGTGTTGATGCAGTTCTATAGAAATATAGTGGATTATCTATGGAATCACTGAACTGGGAGTTTTATCATAATTGATGCCCAGTGCTTGCATGCTGTAGAAAGCACTACATGGGAGAGGCAGAGATAGGAAGTAGGGAGACCTACAGGGTTGAGTTAGAGTTCAGGTCATGCTACTTACCAACCAGGTGACCTTGGGAGGTGTTTTTATTGGCTTCCTTAAGTTTCTATGGGAGGCATGTTTCTCATCATGTTATGAGAGAGAAAAATGGGAAGATGGGTGTTAATCACTGTACAAGGCTGGCACAGGGGAGTTACTGGTGCATGAATACTGTTTTACATCTGACTGTGCTGGTGGTGGCCACAGTTACTGTTTTTTGTTGTAAAAGGCATTATTGTTTTGGACATACCAAAACTTTAGTTTGTCAAATTTGATGGACTTTTGACGTTGTGATGATACTGTTACTACAAATATGTGGACTGTAGCAGTAAATATCCTGGGATTCACTGGACAGGTTGGAAATGCCTAGAAGGCAGGAGTCAGAGTGTTTCTATATCCTGTTTGCTCTTATATTTTGCTTTGTACCCTGAGGAGTAATATATCATCACTCGTGATCCTCAGCATTCAAAATCAGGGGCATTAAAGAGTTCTGAAATGTCATGCCTGATTTCTAACACCAGACTACACTTGATTTCCCTCATGCAGGGTTTATCTGGATCTACTGACCTATCTCTGTCCAAATCCTCTCCATTCTTGTTTATAATGATAAAGACCCTGACTGATATAGCTTCAGTGGCTATATAGTTAATGCAGCAGCGGAGGCTGAATAATGGGCCTTATTTAGGGGTGTGACACTGAGTGACTCTCCTTGCTGACAGAATGGCCACCTCTTCCTCTATTTTGTTGTTTTTTTGTTTGTTTTATACAGAGAATAAATTCCTGATTAGCTGATTATATTGAATGTCAAACAAAAACAAAAAGGCATATATTGAGGCAGAGCCACAACCAGCTCCTGTCCTGATGTTACCTCCTTCACCGTATGTTGCAGGGCTCCTGGGGCCTCTACTTTATACCATAGATCAGTAAAAAGAGTAAGTCAAACAATAAGCATTACTTGGTATCAAGAGCTTCTCAAGGTGCCATTTTAGCTTCTGGGGAACTGTAATAGGAGATGAGATTTATGGAAGGGCTAACTAGATCCTTTTCGTTGATTGCCTGTCATAATTTTAGAAATGTTAAGTCGCCACATTAGGAAAAGGCAGAAGAGATGAGGAGAGTAGGGTCTCACAGCAAAATGTGTAGAGGAGCCAGTGGATGGAATGTTCCTAAGTCAAGTGCCCCTTAATCTGTGACTATGCCCTTCCACACAGCACCTCACATGCCACATTCTCAGTCACACATCACCCACTTAGCATTTCCTTTTGTTTTCCTGTGGCACCAAGATCAAGCCCCAGGACTCAATGCATGATAGACTACCACACTGCCACTGGGCTACATCCCTGACTCTAGTGTGTTTCCTTAAATTAGTATCTTTTTACTTAAATTTATTCTTAAAATTAAGATACATCCCTAGAACAATTAAAAGTATCATTGAATGGTTCATTGGGTAAAGGTACTTACTGCCACACCTGATGACCTCCACCTCCACATGTATGTTGTGGCATATCCCTGCCTCATGACACGCTCACATGCACTTACACATACAACCTGTTAGAATAAATGATGAGAACAGTGTTACTGACTCGCTAAATACTTCCAGGAGTTCCTAGGAGCAGATAGGCTTTCCTCGGAGATGCTCTTTAGCCTTGACAGGACTTGAATGGCAGAGATAAGTTTCTTAGTAAGTGTTGGCATTAACCAAAGCCCTGTGCCCCTGAAGCCTGACTTAATGTTCTCCCATTCCTAAGCCACCAAGCACTATCCTTTGTATGGGTCCATAGTCTGGGAAATTCCAGGCAACACCTTTATGTGGTTTTCTGATTTTTGGTAATTAGTAGTTCCTTATTCTCAAAGTTTTGTTTTTTCTGTCTCTAGCCTACCCTCAGGCACAACAAATGTGCATCAGCAGGGTAGGGAAACCACCTTCCAGAGGAAAGTGAGGCGAGTCCTCTGTAGTTAAGGATATTGCAGAGATGTAAACAATTGTCCTCTCTTTGTCTAAATCAGTGGTTCTCACCTTCCTAATGTGTCAGCCCTTTAATATAGTTCATGTTGTGATGACCCCCAACCATGAAATTATTCCATTGCCACTTCATATCTGTAATTTTGCTGCTGTTATGAATTGTAATATAAATATCTGATATGCAGGATATCTGATAACTGACCCCAGTGGAAGGGTTGTTTGACCACTAAAGGGGTCATGACCCACAGGTTGAGGACCACTGGCCTAAAACGTGACAGTCAGAAAGCATAGCTTTCTCAGTTCTCTGGGAAGGCTGAGCCTTGTTAAATAGTCCTACTGCACAAGAGTTTCTTCTGCTCAGAAGACAGATTCTGGTAGAACTTTCCTCCAAAGTGTGATATACCCAGCAGACACAGGCAGAATAAAGGTTTTTTTCTCTTATGTTTGCCTACTGTCTCCAGTGCTGGAACTCGTGATGTACATGACCTTGGGCACAAAGTGTTCTAAGTCCTAGACTGATGGGACATTGGGTAATTAACTTCCCAGTTCCGGAGTCTGAATCACTGGCTCTCTGCACTTCTTAAGGACATCCTGAGGTAAAGAAGAGTCATCTGTCATCTGAAACTGAATTTTCTCTCTCTCTCTCTCTCTCTCTCTCTCTTTTTTTTTTTTTTTTTTGTTACTTTTGG